CGTGCCAAAGCTGGCGGAGGACAGGGGTGGATCTACCCATTGCAGGGTCTGTGAGCCCCATGTGGCCACTCCCAGAGTGGGACTTCTGGCCAGCTCCCAGAGACATGGATAGGCGAGCAGACGCCTGGGACTGCTTTCAGTGGCCACTTAGTGACTTGATGAGACTGTCTCAAAAAATTTTAAAGTAACAAAAATGCTGCCTGGGCGTGGCGATGACGCACCCCTGTAACACCTGCACTGAGGAGGCTGAGGCAGGATGGCCACATTGGATGCCAGCCTGAGCTACGCAGCGAGTTCAAAGGGACCTCAAGCTCATAGTGAGACCTCATCTCAAAAAAACAAACCAGCAAACAGGTTTGAGGATGTAGCTGTGTTAAGTCAACAAAACACGTACCTGGGCAAGACCCTGGTAACATCAACATGCTGAATCGCTCAGGCTGAGTGCCGCGCCCATCTCGGCAGCGCACGCAACACGGCTCAGTGTTACCGCTTAGTACTATTTCTTCCAGAGAAACAAAAACATAGAAAGCCTATGAAGAAGCAACAGGCCCGATGGTCAGCTTCAGCTTCCGATGGTCAGCTTTGCTTTTGGCAGATGGCCGCGTTGACACTTGGTGAAGGTAGGAACCACCAAAAGCTCAGAAGGTTGCTTAGAAAGAACTTTATTTAGAATTCTCCTAAAGTTAATTCAGACAACTAAATTTCTCTTAGAACGGTTCAAATACCTACTTGTAGGAGAAGGAAATTTTGAGGGAAAACGTGAGTTGAGACTTTTATTTCAGCAACCACACCAGCCTTCCCCGGCTCGAAGCGCTCGAGCTCACTGCGGGGCTCACCACGCAGGAGGCGTCCTGGGAAGCGAACACCGCATAGCAGCGCTGACATGTTTGTGTCTGGGAAGCTTCAAAGCATGGAAGTGCACGCTGAAGTTCAGCTGCCACCTCCCAGAGTGACAGCTGGGCTCACAACGGACACTGAAGTCAGTGAGAGGGTGAGGTCTCCAGCCTGTGTCCCTCTCGGCGAGCGTCAGTACACCGTCCATGTCACCTGCTTGAGTTTGTTTGGGCCTGAGAGCTGCTCCAGGACTTCTCGAGAACGATCTATAAAAGAAAATAATGACTGTACCTTATTCACAATAATCTAAGATATTGCATCAAAAGCGTACTGTACAGGTGAACGGCCCATTAGTGATTAGTTCATGGACGCCCTCACCATCAGCGCACATACTGCCACGACACTTGGAGAACACACGCACTTGTTTTCTCTGAACTTTTATCATAATTTCGCCAACCAAAAAATTGCACTATAGCTACACCATGAAGGTGCTTACCGTCCTCGTCCTTGCAGGAAATGGCCGCTCGGCCCCAGACTTTGCGAGGAGGACGGGAGGCAGCAGCTTCCCCAAGGGGGAGGCCACAGGTGCCCGAGCCTCAGGTCCAAGGGCTTCCACTTCCACACAATACTGCTCTGAAGCAGGGCTTCTGGTGGACGACTACTATGTGAGCATGTCAAATCTTTTTTTTTTTTTTTGGTGGAAGGGAGATTGAACTCAGGCCCTTGTGCTTGCCAGGGAAGCGTGTATTCCACTGAGCCACCTCCCTGGCCCTAAATGTACTGATATA